CCTCTGTTGATCCAGCTGATCCAGGTTGGTCACTGCTTATGCTGATCTCACAGGGTTATTTTTCAGGTGAGATGAGACAAGCACTTGAGAATATCTGGTGAACACTGAAGAGTCATCTGCACACATGTGTACATGTGTGCACACACATGTAAGTGTGTGTGTGAGACTGCAATTTATTTTAAGAAATAGATATTAGGTCTTAGTTCCCCATAGAGCACCTAAAATCTTTAGAATTTCCTTTGAGAGCAGTAAAAATGTCTTTTGTTATGTCAATGAGGTGAGTTACTGACAGACTTAAGAATGAAGCTGGTTCTAGGAAATCCAGTCAGAGGACTGGCAGGTTAAAACTCAGTTCCCGGCCCCCCCCCCCCCCCCCCCCCCCCCCCCGGTGGCGCAGCGGTTGAGTGCTGGGTTGTGAAGCTGCCCACGGCCTCCATGGCGCCGGTTCGATCCCCGGCTGGCTCCTCGGCCACCAGAGGAGGGTCCCACATGGCACGCAGACAGCACCTGCCGCCCGCTGCTCCCCTCAGCAGTGTACTTCGGTCCTTCTGCCTGCTCTGCTCCCCACTCTGGCTCTGGTGAATTCTCTCACCCTCCCATGCTTCTGACTGTACCCAGTGCATGTATAAACAAATAAATAAATAAATAAACATGCCTCTATTAAAAAAAAAAACAAAAAACTCAGTTCCCAACACAATGTTAGGGAAGGGGAGAGGTGCAGAGATTTTGTTGTAAAGCAGGATAAGGAGCACCATAGAAACCTCAAAACTGCCCACTCTAAATAGTTTCTACCACCTGCTGCATCAAGACAAAACATACTCTAGTGCATAAGACCTTTAACAGAAGGGAACTTTAATACAATCAGTGTGCAATATAGACAAGAAAAAGAATAAAATTTGCAAATCAAACACCCAAAGTTACACATCCCTGTGGGTAAATGGCCGGCCAAACAGTTGACCCAACACAGGGCCTCTGAGACCTGAAACCCTGCCACAAGCATTAAGGTACCTCCTGGTGGGGACCCACAGGAAAGGGGCAGAAGGAGCCCAGCACGTCTGGGACAGAAAGAATAAAATAAAAATCAAGATTAAAAAATTCCATCGTTAACTTCCCCATGGGTCTCTCACCCACATCTGTTTCAACCAGTCCAGGATCAAAAAAGCAAGTGCAGCTTCTTTACAAGTCTCTCTGCTCCATGTGCCAACTTCTTGTCTCTCTAACTCTCCATCCTCCATCCTTTCTTCCTACCCATCTGCTCTCCAGCTTCTTCTCCTCCCTCCTCAGCTCCACCCTTCCTTGGGTGGGGCAGGGAACCCGGAACCTCTCCTTTTCCTTGTTACAGTTTCTGTTCAATCACCGGTGATTTAAACAATTGTATCTGTAATAGCAGGCTTCAAAGAGCTGGTGAGTTGGTGAACACAAGGGGATTTGGAGAGGGTGGCAAGCTAAGAGAGCAGGGAAGTTCAATGCCTTTCCCCCATACCTTGTCCTATGTATCTCCTCTACCTGACTTTTCCTGGATTAAAACCTTTTATAATAAACCATCAATCTAGTAAGTAAAATGTTTTTCTGAGTTCTTGAGTTACTCTTGCAAATTAATCACCCTCAAGGGAGGGCGTCACAGGAACAGATGATTTATTCATAGTCAGGAGCACTGGGTTTGGCATCAGAAGTTGGAGGAGGGTGTGGTTTCGTGGAACTGAACCTTTAATCTATAGGGTCTAACACTGTAGAAGTGAGTTGAATTGTAGGACATCCACGTGATGCCAAAGAATTAGTTGGTCTGTGTAGGAAGCCCTGACACATCAGAATTTGGGGTCAGAATTGTGTTGGTAACTGGAAGTAGGGTCACAGGATTATGGTAAAAGGTTACAACTCTGTCTACTTGGTGTTGATGAGAAAATATATTATTGAAGGCCTCCCCTGGTGGCGCAGGCGGTTGAGCACAGCGCTGTGAAGCTGTCTGCAGCCGCTGCAGCGCTGGTTCGATCCCAACCTGCCGGCCAGTGAGGGTCCCACATGGCACAGCACCTCTCCTGTCGCGCCCCATGCTCCCCTCATCAGTGTATTTCAGTGAGTCTGCCTGTTCTCTTCCCCACTCTGTCTCTGGTGAATCCTCTCATCCTCCAACGAATCTGGCCTGTACCCCAGTTCTTGTATGTATGGATAAATAAATACATCTTTAAAATATATCTATATGTGTTATTGAGCAAATGAATATAATAGATTCCAGCAGAACTTCCAGCTCAGGTGCAATGAACACTTCAATGCAGGCATAATTAACAAGTTTGCATACTTCCAGCACTTTCCTTTAAAGATTCATGGCCAGGGCCTCAGCACTCCTATCTAAACAAAGTTGCATTTCAGAAGGATGGGGTAGCCAGTCAAAGCTGGTCTGTCTCTCCAAGGCCTTCCTGGTTGTCTGCCTCTTTCCCCCTTGGCCTGTCCTCCCTACTCTTGTCTGGGGACTGCAGCAAATGATTGTGCCTGCTGAAAAAAGATGCTATCAATGTAATAAATATGAAGACTGTTATGTATACAAGGAACCCTTTGTCTTTAAACCTGTGCTCAGACCTTACAGGGCTACACAAGTCTGGGACCTCATGCATGAGTAATAAAGCTTTCCCTGACCTCACCATTCCTGAAGTACCCCTGGTTCTTCCTCTGCCTGGGTAAAAGGCCAGAATTTCTACAACAGTGTTGCTATATATATTTGCTTAGAAGTTAATTATTTTATGTATCAATTTTCTTATGACATTAATCAGTGTGATAAAGTTGTCCAACTTGTAACTTAAATATAGGCCATAGAACTTAATAAAACCTCTTTTAACATAGCCCCTAATTATGTGACTCTTCTGAAAAATCAAAAATTCTGCTCACCCATTAATTATACTCTGCTACCTCAGAAATACTAGCTGAAGTGTGAAGATGGTTTCACTCTCCAAAGAAAGAATTAGATTAGAAAGCCACAGCTGTGAGAACTGAGTCTACCTGAATTCCTTATTATAAGTCATGGTAAATAAAATGAGATAGGGGAGGGAAAGATAAGAGGTCGAAGAAAATTAAAAAAAAAAAAAGTATGAACATTAAAATGGGCAAAACAAAATTTTTTTAAGATTTATTTATTTATTTGTACAAGAACCAGGGTATAGGCCAGATACGCGGTAGGGTGAGAGGATTCACCAGAGACAGCGGGGAACAGAACAGGCAGCCTGACGAAATACACTGCTGTGGGGAGCAGTGGGCGAGACAGGAGAGGTCTGCCGTGCCATGTGGGACCCTTGCTGGCCGGCTGGGATCGAACAAGCGCTGCAGAGGCTGCGGACAGCTTCACAGCGCGGCTCTCAACCGCATGCGCCACCAGGGAAGGCCCTCCCAATACATTCTTTAGATAAAGTAAATTTTTACCACTAACAACCCTCAAGTGAATGGTTTGGAATCTACGATGAAGCGGTCACAGGCCAGGATATGACGAGTTGTAGGAATGGAATGATCTCATGAAAGGAAGAGCAAAGACAAGACTCCAGCCCTCTGACGATGCTGTATTAAAGCTGCCTTGAGTGTCCACCTGTTCCTTGGGGAGCAGCACACAGACCCTAACGCTGATTCCTTTATGCTGAATTACATAAGCTTTAATTAATTCCTACTTGATACTGTTGGGGAGGGGAGGGAAGGATGTCCTGAACAAATTCCACAAATAGGTCTTATGGGCCCCACCTCCACCCCAGACCAAAGAGATCCAAGACATCAAGGACTACTAGTCCCATAACATCACCACTGAAGGGAGGCTTGCTGGGACTGAGGGTGGAGTTAAGCAGTCAGGTTTTGTACATAACCAGACACGTGGGCCATGGGGGTGCTTGGCTTTTCGCCAGATTTCAGCATGCTATTGGGATTCCAGCTTATTATATGTCCCTGTGAAGCCTGTGGGTGGGGACCCAGTCAGCCAATCCATTTCACATTGGGGTTGCCCTGTAACAATACCTGCAGCATTACAAATCCATTATTTCTATTTTTTTAAGAACTCAAGAACCCAGAATCCATTAACAGTTCATAAGGAAGAGAGTCGCCCTTCTGTGTCCCACATGGAGTAGTTCAGGGTGCAGGTACAACCTTAGGACCCAAGTATCATACCCCTGGAGAGAGAGTCCAGGAACTATGAGAGCAGAGACACCACTGGCATTTTCTGCTCCTTAGAATGACCCTGCCTTCCTAGAAGTGCTCTGAATTAAAGTGAATGGAAATAAACACCTTGGGAAAGTAATTTTCAGGAAGGACAAGTATCCCCAAACTTGGAGATATCCTCAACCACTCCTGCACCACCCGGAAGGCCCAGTGCTCCCCTAGGTATTTTCCCAGAGTTAATCAGTGACCAACCAGAAAACAGACTCAGGGCTGTAGGTCGAGGGATCAAGGGTAACTGGGGGAAAGGTGACAAGGTGTCCCTTTCTGTGGAAGCACCTGGTCTGGCTCAGGCTGTGCCAAACCCCTTAGCGCAGGACATCCTTTCCCCCTAACACTAGGAACCCAGGGGCTTAACCAGGACTAGGTGAATTTCAGAAAATAATAATTTCATAAGGAGACAGGGTATAGTCTGAAGGAGATCATTTATTTCTTTTTCTTTTCATTTGAATTATCTAATTTCTATATTATTACACAAAAAAAGGATGAATAAGGAGATAATAGAACATTTTTAACTAGTTAAAACATTATTCATAATTACTTTAAAAGATGCCTTTGTTTTTTAACCTCTGGTATCTTAATTATGGGAATCAAACATCCTCAGCATATTCAACGTTGCCCTGTGGATTTATAAAAGATGGAAACAACATTTGCCACAAAAAGGACCTAAGAAGGATTTTTCTAGTCCTCGCCTCCCACTTGCTCCTCTATACATATTGCCACTTACATAATGTGATGCACCTACATGAAAGATGGATGAAGCTCAGAAATCAGTCTGTGCTAGATCAAATATGGAAATAGAAAATTTACACACACATCCATTGTTTTTAAATTTTAATTTCTTTGTTTCAGCAAATTTATGACATCTCTTCTAAATTAAGTCTCCCCCCCCACCTCTTTACCAGGCTAACCCGGAAAGGGTGTTGGTGAAAGGAATCACAGCGATTTCCCGGGTCCCTGCCCTAAGCGCGGAGGATCCTTCTCAAACACTCTTCCATACAGGGCCATCACCAAGACAGGCAAAGGGACTCCGCTGCAGCTCCTCAGACGTCCATCTCCTAAAACCTGACCAAAGAAATCAAAGGATTAAGTTCAGGGCTTGGTTTCCAGCCAAGAGAACTTCTCTGATAAAATCATTCTTTAAAAGCAGCATAAAAAGCACCAAGGGATTCGCTGTGAGAAGACCCATATTTCAGGTATGAGAACACACATGTTTCAGATCTCAAGGTCAGATAGCAGAGGAACTTTGGGTGAAAATGGGGCAAATAAAATATTGCAGGTGGTCATATGAGACAATGCAAAAAAAAAAAAAACGATTTAACTCATGAAGCACTGCCTAATTATACACTATCACTATGATTAGAACTTCTCAAAATAATACACCCACAACATAAATTGCAGATGCATTATTTAATTTATTTAATGTGGACCTTCTGTACCATGCAAACAAAGGGAACATTGTTGCCATGATCCCCGTAATCAATATTACTTTAATTTTTCCATAATAGCACTGCTGCTCTGGATCTCAAAATCTCATTATGTCAAAAAGTGAAACTTCCAACACAGCCTAAGACAATCTAGAACCACAACTTGCCTTCTAGATCATAGCTTCTACATATCATATAAGTATACATATGTAACATGAGCCACTATATTGCAATGTTGTCAAATCGCTTCAAGCATTTTCAATCTGCCAGTCTACACCATCTGTTCAGAGAAATGTACCATCCAGAAAACTGCCTACCTCATAATGTCCCTCAGGGGCAAGCTGACTGCCACTGAGAACCATCTGTGGGAAAACATAACTCGTTCCAAATGTGCCACTGAGGGAGAATTCTTCAAATTTGGTAAAAGCTGACCCCACAGGCTCCCCACAAGTTCTCAGGTCCATGGTTTGACACTTCAATAATGTGCAGACCTAGACAGGAAAAGAAAAAAAGTGGTCTGAAATCTGAGAAATATTTTCTCAGCTAAATGACAAGATTTCAAAGAATAGTGGAAGATTCGTAGTCTGCCTCTTTAGCAGAGTTTTCAATTGCAGATCATGACCCATGCCTGGGTGCCTTCTGAAATCATTCTAAGTGGTCAGGATTCGCTCCTTTTTTCCAATGAGACAAAACAGAACATACAGATTATTAAAAATCAGAGTGCATTGCATATTATCATACCACATCATTTCTAATTCTAATATGAATTATCTCATAATGATAGGGGGAAAGGATGTCCTGTGCAAACTCCATACAGGCTTTGTGGATGCCACCCCCACTCCATCAAGACACTGGGAACTACAAATCCCATGATCCCCAAAGGGAGGTTGCGAGGACTTAAGGGCAGAGTTAAGCAGCCATTTTCTCTGGTTTGGTTTTATAACCAGCCATGTTTAGTGGGGTCTTGCTTTCTTGGCTCGTGCTCTTGGCCAGGCAGGTTTGGTCTTGGGGGGTCATTTGGGATTCTAGGTCAGTGGAATAGGTAGGACACATTTAAGAATTTATCTCCCTCTTTTATTCCTGAGTTGTACATTTCCTCACTACCCTTTCCCTTGTAAATAAACCTTTTGTTAATCTTTTGTGTGTGCCTGCAGTTTAAGTCCCCTTTAAGCGCACAGGTGAGGACCCATAGTCAGGCAACCCATTTTATATGGGGCTTGCCCTGTAACCATAAGATGTTCATTTCAATGAAAATCTCTTCAACTCAGCTACACATTTTCACTGTACTGCATCCCAATGTGAAATAGGTTTTTTATCTGGATTTCAGTTAAACACACTGAGAATGCATAGAAAAGGTACAGCTTTGTAAAATTGAACTTGACCTGCTAAAAACAAAATTGATTCACTTAATATTTTTACCTTGCAACTAAGAGAAGTAATTCAGTTCTTGCTGAGACAGAACAAATAAAGTTTTCTGGGAAGAATTCAGTAATAAGTGTAACAATAGACCAATTAATTGAATCCAACACAATATTTAAAGAAATACAACAAAGACCTAGAAGACAAAGTAATTTAAACATTTCTACCTGTAAATAATATTGGCCTTCTACTGTGTGCAGTCCATCAAAGACACCTAATGCATACACCTCATCTGTTCTCTTCACGGACATCTTATAAGTTAAATGACAACACAGGTCTTTCTGGCAAACTGTGTAATTTCCTGCATTTTGTTTAAGCTCAGTGAAGATGAACTCATCAAAATAAATCATCCCCCGAAAATCTGACTGCTCAGATGTGGGTGGCTTGACACCTCTGGCATAAGCACTCCAGTTAATAGCTGCAGGGTAAGTGGGCTCTCCCCGAGGCCGAGACTTTAATTCTGACAGCAGCAGCTGGCCACTCTCTGTTTCCATGTCATAATGATACACGTTGACCGCCTCTGGTGTATAGATTCCACTCCCTGTGGGTGACAAAGTAACACAAATTTTGTCACAATTTTGCATGGTCACAAACTAATAGAATCATGTCTATGAGAAATGAAATATAAAGTTAGAAAACCATAAATATTTTCAAGAGAGTTAAGGAGATAGTTTATCACATAGGAATAAGCTCCAACCTGGCTCTGTGCCCTCTATGAGATACCATGTGTGCTGAAATTATCGGTGGGCTTGGGTGGCTTACTTTTTTTATTTACCTACTCTTTTTTAGGCAACTTATCAACAAATTAGAAAATTCCCCAAATATGAGTATTATAGCTCTCCACTGATCTAATTTATTTATGCTTAAGATTCTCAAACTGGATCATCAACAAATAACAAAGCAGTGTCGTGCCTATATTACATTGACCACAGATACAATAAAGGATGAACTCTAAAAATCTGATTAAGTCCAAAGTGATTAAGATTTATTTAATCATGTCATAAGATTTTTTTTTAATATTCATTTTTATTTATTTATGCATACAAGAACTGGGGTGTAGGCCAGAGGTGTGGGAGGTGGGGAGTGAGAGAATTCACCAGAGACAGAGTGGGGAGCAGAACAGGCAGACTGACTGAAATACACTGCTGAGGGGAGCTGTGGGCGAGGCAGGAGAGGTCTTCTGTGCCACCTGTGGGTCAGCTCCTTGGCCTGGGGTGGAACCCAGGCTGCAGTGGCTGGTGATAGCCTGATAGCACTGAGATTTTAACCCCTGTGCCATCAGGGAAACCCATCTAAGTAAGATTTTTTTTTTATAAATTAATTTCTTTATTTATACATATTTTATATACAATGGAACAAAGACAGTTTGTTCAATAAATGGTGCTGGGAAAACTGGACCACCACATGCAAAAGAATGAAACTAGAAGGCTTCCCCAGTAGCGCAGCAGGTTGAATGCAGCACTGTGAAGCTGTCTGCAGCCTCTGCAGCGCAGTTTCGATTCCCTGCCAGCCAGGGAGATTCCCACATAGTGTGACAGACCTCTCCCCTTATATTTAAAATGGGAAAATTGGGCCTTCCTGGTGGTGCAAGTGGTTAAGACGCAACCTATGAAAATATCCGCAACCACTGCAGTACAAGTTCGATCCCTGGCCAGGGAGAAACCCACATGGTGCAGCAGACCTCTCCTGCCTTGCCTGCTGCTCCCCTCAGCAGTGTACTTTGGTCCATCTTCCTGTTCTGTTCTCCACTCTGTTTCTAGTGAATCCTCTCACCCTCCCGCACTTCTGGCCTGTACCCCACTTCTTGTATAAATAAATAAATCTTTATTTCACTCCATGCACCAAAATCAACTCAAAATGGATAAAGGAACTGAACATAAGACCTGAAAGTATAAGTAAGATTTATTAACCCAGTTTTACTAAAGGATGTTGGCTGGAAAATCCTTCTTTTTGGCTTTGCATTTTTAATGACACTTGTAAAACTGAGATAACATGTAAAACTAAGATAACATGTAAAACTGAGATAACAATGTTTAAATTTACCTTGTTCTTTACTCACAGGATAATGTTCTTAAGTGATGTTATTCAAGAAATCCACACTATTACTAAATTTGTGACATTAGAGCTAATAAAGGATTCTTTTTTTCTTTTCTTTTTTTTTTTTTTTGTGGGACCCTTGCCAGCGGCCGGGGAGTGAACCAGCGCTGCAGAGACTGCGGGCAGCTTCACAGCCCAGCGCTCAACCGCTGCGCCACCAGAGGAGGCCCAATAAAAGAATCATTTCAAAAAAAAAGTGTGGCAAAAATCAGCGAGATCTTCCTAAGAACATGAGCATTACCTGTCATATGCCAGTTACCTGTCATGTGCATGCTGGTGTTGTGGGTATTTGCAGCGAGCAGGTTCACACCCATGGCCCTGGCCCATGCTGAGTGGAAGGGAACAGCTGAGAGAAGGGGCAGCGTGTTGTACCAGGCCGTGGGGTAGAGAACGCTGTCAACTTGAAATTCATCCACCACCATCACAGCCGGATTGTGAGAAAAAATGTCAAAGCAAGTGAAAATGCCAAACTTCCCAAAGGGAGTGTCAAAAGTCACAAATTCTGAATCCTTGGGGAAATCAAATTGAATTTCAGTTGCAAAGAGATTGTACTGTTAAAAAAGGTGGGGGAGGGAGGTAAAGGGAGGAGATTAGTAAGAAAATTGCCAGAAAGGACCAACACCCATAAAATATTTTTGTCCTTGTATGATGATATGCATATTTAATAGTTACAAACTTGTGTAAATCATACCCAGTATACCATGAGTTTTTTAATTAAGACATTCATCAAAAAACTTGATTTTTCTATAATCAGTGAATGAAATTATACTACAAATGATATTTAAGAGGTCACTTTCTGTCTTAAAATCAGAGGTTTACATTTTGAATTCTACAAATTTCAGATTGCTTTCCTCTGTATTCTTTAAATACCTACAACACTGCCCCTAAGAAGTCCAACACATTAATAAAATAGACTTGGTCATATCTAAGATACTGCTAGGCTTCTATAAGTGAAGAGAAGTAGATTTTAAATGAATTTAGATAATAAAATAACTAAGCCTTGTTAATTAGTAAGCTATTGGTAATTTTTTTCCAAACTGATTATTGCTTCAAGATTCCACTGACCCTGCTTGGAAGTACAGCATGTATTTTACTTGACCCAGGGATGAATTTCTATGCTCTAACAGCACAGCACCCCTCCCCACTTCAAGGAACAGCCCTCACTGCTCCCCTCTCCACTCCACCCGTCATTCTAAAGTGATAAACTCAGTGATTCTATTGGTACTCACTGGAGTGAAAAAATGATGAGGTTTTGCAGGGCTTCTAGGGGGAGAAATGTCTCTTCCTCTAGATTTTGCTGCCCGAGGATGTGAGTTTTGTACTGAACAGCCCCATGGCTTCTAAAAAATAGTTTGCTTGACTAAAAGGTGTAGCAAAGAGCATGGAGAGCTAGAGTATGGACCTCTGAGGGACAGGATGCACCTGAAACTAGACCTACCCTCTTCTATGATCTATTTTTTTCAGGTACATGAGCCAGGAAATTCCCATTTTTTTTTTAAGTCAATTTTATTTGGGTTTTCTATCATTGGAATTTTTTTTTAAAAAGGCCTAATTGAAGGAATAACTAAAGTTTAGTACAAAATATTAACAAATTAGGCCAAAAAACTAATTCTGGTATTAAATCCTGGATAAAATCTAGCATTTCTCTTTCCTCTCGCAGAATATTCACTCTTTATTAGGATAGCATCACATCTGTTTTAATATTCTGCCATATTCTATTTTATGATTAATTCTGACTCAGAAACTTTCTATGAGACTGATGTAAATAAAGTTCCCTTTTCAACTAAAGTATTTTAAATGTATTTAAAATATAAATCTAAGTAATTTTAAAATTCAGGGCCTCCCTGGTGGTGCAAGGGGTTGAGTGCAGTGCTGTGAAGCTGTCCACAGCCTCTGCGTGCGAGTTCCATCCCGGGCCAGGGAGCTACCCACATGGCGCAGCAGACCTCTCCTGACTCACCTGCTGCTCCCCTCAGCAGTGTACGTAGGTCTATCTGCCTATTCTCCTCCCCTCTCTGCCTCTGGTGAATCCTCTCACCTCCCACACCTCTGGCCTGTACCCCAATTCTTGTAATCATAAATAAATAAATCTTTTTAAATAATAATAATAATTTAAAATACATTCATAGCAATACTCTTATCAACATTCAAAGGACAAGTATGGGTACATATCACAAACAAGAAAAATAAAAAGTACCTCAAGTTTAGCCAAGGCACAAGTAATTCTCACCTTATGGTAGCGGGCCACCAGCCTCCCCTCAGAATCAAACACCACATCAGTGTTGTATTGGTAACGGCCATCGGGGGGACACTGAGGGTCACTGGCATTGCACGGCTTTTTGTCTCCAATGTTTGCCACAACATAGATGGAATTGTCCTTAGCCAGGCAGCTGAGTCTTTCTTGCACTGGAGTGTAGCCAAACCTAATTCAATAGATATTGCCTTAAACTTACTCTATTTCAGTGATTTCTAAACTTCCAAAGTGATACTTCATTTGCTTATTACATATAACACAACAGTTCTAAGTTAAGGATGAATCATAAAGATTTTAAAGCTCACAAGCAACATAATCTTCACCCTGATGAAAACTAAACCATTTTAACACATCAGATCCCAAATTGCAGTGTGAACGTGAAGTACAGAAAAGATGACAGTGGAGGATGAGATAGAAGTGAAGTATACTTTCTCTTATAAACAACTCCCAAGAAAGCCAAGGAAGGCCTTGAAATTTAACAAATTCTAACTGGGAGGAACTTTTCTATAATACAAGCCAGTCTTTCTAAGAGGCAGCAAAAAGTTGACCCCATATCCCTTGGTGGCACAGCGGTTGAGCACTGGGCTGCGAAGCTGCCCGCAGCCTCTACAGCACAGGTTCGATCCCCGGCTGCCGGCGAGGGCCCCACATGGCATGCAGACCTCTCCTGCCGCCCGCTGCTCCCCTCAGCAGTGTACTTCGGTCCTTCTGCCTGCTCTGCTCCCAGCTCTGGCTCTGGTGAATTCTCTCACCCTCCCACGCTTCTGACTATACCCAGTGCTGGTATAAATAAATTAATAAAAATCTTAAAAAAAAAAAAAGTTGGCCCCATGTAGGGCATCTTCTATAGAATATAAATGAAACACTATGTACTAGAATTATTTTTAAAAAAGAGGGAGGGAGGGAAGGCAGGCAGAAAGGAAGAAAGGAAGGAAAAACTTCACTCGGCTGGCTCAGTTTTCTTATTTGCCAATGCAATATAATAACTTCCTTTCTTCCTTAGTGAGCTCACATTGGAGTTATCATCCTAAAAATAAGAAGGGATGGAAGTGATGAAATAGATGGAATCCTACTGACTTCACTTATTTCAATGGCTCTAATTTGAAGATGAGTCATATACATATGAACATACACAAAAAGCAGTAAAAAAAAAAAAAAAACAAAGGAAGTTACAGAGAGAGAAGTGACACACTTTTAGCAACCAGAACATCTGTCAAAGAAGTGGATTCACTGGTCTCTGGAATTTTCAAGTGCAACATGGTGCCACAGACACTGAGTCCATTCAGCGAGCAGGCTCAGCGGAAATGGCTGTTTGAATTCCAACCATGCTAGTTAGTTACAGATGTGATATCTTAAGCCTTCCTTGTCTCCCCTTATATTTAAAATGGGAAAATTGGGCCTTCCTGGTGGTGCAAGGGGTTAAGACGCAACCTATGAAGATCTCCACAACCACTGCAGTACATGTTTGATACCTGGCCAGGGAGCAACCCGCATGGCGCAGCAGACCTCTCCTGCCTTGCCTGCTGCTCCTCTCAGCAGTGTACTTCTGTCAATCTGCCTGTTCTGTTCCCCACTCTGTCTCTAGTGAATCCTCTCACCCCCCCACACCTCTGGCCTGTACCCCAGTTCTGGTATTCATAAATAAATAAATCTTAAAAAAAATTAAAAAAATAAAATGGGAAAATTCTCACCTGTTCCATAAATTGAATGAGATAAAGCGCATAGTATACTAGGCACGGTTCCTGGGACCAAATAGTGGCCATTATGGACTGGCCAGAGCTATTAACCAGAAGCTATTAACCAGAAGCTATACCAGGAAATTGATGGCTTTACTGCTTTTAGAGGTCATTTGGGTTCTCTCTGATCTGTACCTCTACATTTGATATTGAGCTTATCTTTGATCTCAGGAAAAATAGGGCAATACTGTCAATATTCATATTCATTATGCTCTATTTTTTGAAAAAATAATTACACTTAACATTTACTATTTTTCCTCATAAGGAAAGTCCAAGGGAGCATAAAATGTCAGCAATCTCAATAATATCTAAATACTCAAGGATATCCACCACTTGGCCCTCTATTCGTCCTTTTAGGAATAAATACTAGCAAGAAACAGTGACTTTCTTTATCAATATTGCCATTAAATTAATTACTGGATTTCTTCTTTTATAACACATAACTGAAAGTTTGCCGTTTGAGTAATGTCTGAAAGACTCAATAATGTTAAACTTTCAGCAGCCATCTACCTTCAGAATTTAATTCATTGGAAACAAATTAGCAGATTTGGGGGCATGTTTCCCTTAGGCAAGTCAGCTTTATCAGCCTAGGTAAACAGTTTATTTTAGTATAAGTCTCATGAATTACTGAAAACAATGAGACCTTCCTGCTTTGGGAAAAACCCTGCAACCAAATAGACATTAAGCCATCATTTCGTGGTTACTGTAAACACAGATTATGCAACACTCAGGGAATATTTTTCCAAAGGTGAAACCTCAGGGTAAGACCTGACTCACATAGCAGAGTTCTTATGTTACAGCGTTGAACTTGACTTTCCAATCAATTTCAGATTTATTAGAGTTTACTGAGCAAGTGCATATGTCTACAAAATTATCAAATGAAATTGCTTTTTAATGCACTGATTTTTCCATTAAAAGAATTACATGTGAGCTATTTTTAAAAGTAAATACACCTAAAGTAATCCATCATAAATCTTTTCTATGTTTTACATAGATTTTCTCTCTAAAAATTATACCTAAATTACAGTTATTAATAATTATTAAAATTTCAAGTTTGGATCCAGGTCCTTCTGTTAAAAAAATATATATATAGTGCTAGTTAACACAGGAGACAGCACAATCATGTACAAATTCTACATATATTGCTTTACTTGATTCTCTTGTCTACTCTGTAAGAAAAGTAGGAGAGGAAATTTTATAATCCCTGTTTTTCAGATTAGAAATATCAAGCATTTAGGTTATTTGCCTCACATCACTCAGGTAGGATGTGGAAGACTATGGTCCTAGAGAGGGTGCTTCCTTTTTCAAGCTCTATGCAATTTCCACTCAATGCAAATAACAGTGGTAGAGCAAAGCTCTTTGGAAACATAAGCTCATTCATTTTTCACCATTTCTACAAAAGAGGTAGGTACTGATGGGTGAACTTGCTTATATTTGGAAACACGCATTAAATATAGATATTAAAACTATTTTACTTTGTCAAAACCCAAGTAAGCACATTCATCATAAAAACTGTGTACATGCACATTATTCATGAAGGAAACCTGTACATTATTACCTCATATTATTTACCAAATAGGGGCGGTGTCAAATAGTATGCATTATGAAGTATTAGAACCATCTAAGTCCATTGCCATGGAGTGTTTGCCAGCAAGAATACAAATTAAGGGCCTCCCCTGGTGGCGCAGCAGTTGAGCGCTGGGCTGCGAAGCTGCCCGCAGACTCTGCAGCACTGGTTCGATCCCTGGCTGCCGGTGAGGGTCCCACATGGCACAACAGACCTCTCCTGCCTCGCCCACTGCTCCCCTCAGCAGTGCATTTTGTCAGTCTGCCTGTTCTGTTCCCCGCTCTGGCTCTGGTGAATTCTCTCACCCTCCTGCACTTCTGACTGTACCCAGTGCTTGTATAAATAAATAAATATTTAAAAAGAAAAAAAAGAATACAAATTAAGTTTACTAAATTTGCCACTGGTATTTTATAGTATTACATTTTTTTGGTTCAAAAATCAAACAGCAATGACATTACCTCTTGGGGTCTCTACAAGGAATCCAGTTCACTTCAGGGTCTGGGATATCCTCCAGATAGGGATAAATTGTCTCCCTTGTGAAAACCCAGCCATAAACACCATCTTCTGGAGTCACAATGATATGCGCACCCTGTTCAAAATAAGTGGGAGCAAAAGAGTTTCTCATAAATTCCAAAAACTTACCCTCACCAAGTTTCAAATCTCCTTTACAAAAACCCAAGCAGTAAAAAAAGGGTTATACCTTCCTGGCTGCCAGTTTAACTGCTTTCTCCAACACATCTATGTTCTTATTCATCAGGAGCAAAGCTTCTTCTTTTGGAACAGGTGTTTCTGTTCTGTTTGGTAGAATCACAGCATGCTCATACACTGCAGCAATAAAAGTCTCCAGTGCACCAACACTCAGGACAAGGAGTGCAAAAATTGCCACAAAATTTGGAAAATATGATGAAATCATGGCTACAACTTTGTGCTCTCTGATAAACTCAGATTTTGTGTGACTGGAAAAAAACTTGTGGTAAAGGCTGCTCTCTAGCAGCTATTTATATTTTCTCAAGAGTATGTTACACAACACAGCACAGAGAAGGGATGTTGTGCAAGAAAATTGTCAGAAGTACATGACTGGATTGACTCAAGTATGCAGGGCTTTTGTTGACACTGTTTACAGCTACATAAACATCTAAAAGTAGAATTAATGAGCCCATAACACACTTACTATTGAGTTTTCTCTTTCCTACCCATGATATCTTTCCATTTATTCAGTATTTCCTTGAATAGGGTCAATAGTAAATGCTTCCTAAGGGACCAGGAAAATGAATAACTATAAGAAAGTGAAAATCAAAATCAACAAAAAACTATGAACCAGAGACACTTTTTGGGGGGTGGGGGGTGGGAGGGGAGGGATTGGGGTCAGAATGGGGGGTTTGCAATTGTATGGGGGAATATAAAAATAAAATTTATTATTTAAAAAAATACTAAATGCTTCTTGAGGTCAGCCATTATAACAATAATTTGTTGAGAATTTAGGTATGTAGCTGTGACAGACACAGAAAAGTGTAAGGCAAGCTCCAATTTTTTTTTTTTTAAGATTTCTTTATTTATGCATACAAGAGCTGGGGTGTAGGCCAGAGGTGTGGGGTTGAAAGGACTCACCAGAGACAGAGTAGGGAGAACACTCAGACTGACTGCTGAGAGGAGCAGTGGGCGAGACAGGAGAGGTCTGCTGCGCTATGTGGGTCACCTCCCTGGCCAGGGATCGAACTCATGCTGTAGTAGCTGCAGATTGCTTCAGAGTGCTGACACTTAACCCCTTACGCCATCAGGGAGTCCTGGCAGTTCCAATTTTAACAGATCTCATCAATGGCAAGGGAGTGCAGATACAGACATGCTAATGATCGGGCTCACGCGTTCATGAACGGTGCTTTCAATTTGGGCATGATAAGAATACATCAACAGAACCTGCAGTTGTTGGTTTGTCTTGGAAAGAATGCCTGCCTCAATCTAAAATAACAGCACTTCATCAGAATGCTTTGTAAAGTATATGTAGATTATAACACGCTCAGTGATGGTGAGTGCCCACGGGCTGGGTTCTTCCCTGGGCCTCTCCAAAACCTGGTGAAGGTGTTAGGGGGAAAGGATGTCCTGAGATAATCTCATACAGGCTTTGTGGACTCCACCCCCACTCCAGACTAAAGCATCTTCCAGTGGGGACCCACAGAAAAGGGTCACAAACAACCGGACAAACCCGGAAGGAAAAGAGCAAAATCAACATCAAGATAAAAGCTGCCATTGTCACCTCCCCACGGGTCTCACCCACATCTGTGTCACCCAGTCCACGACCAAAAGACAAGCGCAGTTTCTTCACGTGTCTCTACGCTCCATGTGCGTCCTCCAGGTCTCCTGGCTCCATCCTGCTTCCTTCCTCCGTCTCTTCCTGCAGCTTCTCCTCCTGCTGCTCCGCTCCACCCTTCCTTGGGTGGGGCAGGGAAGCTGGAACCTCCCCCTTTCCTGGGGACCACCCTGTTACACGTTGGGCGCCAAATCTGTTATAGGACAGGGAGAGGGTCAGCCCAAACCCCGCAAACCTGCCTATTCTAAATGGGTTCTGCCATCCGCCGCATCAGCACAAAACATATAAGACTTTAATGGGAAGGAACTTTAATAAAACTAGGAAACAATACAGATAAGGCAAAGAGTCTAGTTTCTAAATGAAGCACCCAAAGTTACCCGTCCCCTCGTGGGTAAAAGTCCATCCATATGGGATTGGCCCAGAACAAGGCCCCAAAGCCTGCCACAAGTCTAAAGCATCTTCCAGTGGGGACCCACAGAAAAGGGTCACAAACAACCGGACAAACCCGGAAGGAAAAGAGCAAAATCAACATCAAGATAAAAGCTGCCATTGTCACCTCCCCACGGGTCTCACCCACATCTGTGTCACCCAGTCCACGACCAAAAGACAAGCGCAGTTTCTTCACGTGTCTCTACGTTCCATGTGCGTCCTCCAGGTCTCCTGGCTCCATCCTGCTTCCTTCCTCCGTCTCTTCCTGCAGCTTCTCCTCCTGCTGCTCCGCTCCACCCTTCCTTGGGTGGGGCAGGGAAGCTGGAACCTCCCCCTTTCCTGGGGACCACCCTGTTACACTATCAAGCGTGATTTGTTAAGAGAACTCAATGTTACTCATGGTAACTGAATTATAAATTGGAGGACATGGAGAATTATTGGAAACCGTTTCATTATTAATCATGTTGGAAGCTATTTTTCTCAAACCACTGAAGTGTGCATTACCAAAACTGGCATTGATGCCAACACTCATTGTGTTATTCTAAAGCTTATAGAAAATTTCCATGGTTTCAATAACTGGCACAAACAAATGAAAGGAAGTAGCAGGAGCCAGCTGTGGAGTTTTCTGACTTCTCAGAAATTTTCCTCATGCCCGGATCTTGTCAGACAGCATGAGTAGCATGGCCCACGCCACAGGTGAAATCCTCTGCCTTAAGGACTTGTACAAGTACCTCACCCTAAGTCTAATTTTCAGGAGAATGTTTCCTTGTCCCTCTAAAAAGCTAAACATTCTATTAGATATTAGATACACTTGACATTTACTTCACCTGAGACTCTGACATTTCCTCTCCCTCTGCTCCCATGTCAGTTCATCATAAAGTTTCCTTTAAACACCTCTTTCTAGTCCAATGAATTATGCTAAATCAGATGTCTACTTTTTAACTTATCTCCCTATCTCCCAAAGTGGCAGTAATTTATTTCACACTTAACCAGCACAAGTACAAGATCACTTATACTCCAAGAGTCTGTGGTTCTCTATTTTTTAAAACACTAGTTCCTTAGATATAGTTCATGATCCATGAAGGGTAACAAGTTATTTTTGAAAGAAATACAGATAAATACCTTTTATTTTAATAGTTACAGGTCAATTATGTTTATTTAAAAATTATAACTCTTACCAAACCAATACATAGTAGAGTTCAAGATGAGCAACACAAAAGATGTCCATCAATCTTAAAAGAATATCAGGTAATTGGGCCTCCCTGGTGGCTGAGGGATTAAGTCCCTGCTTTTAAATATGTAAGACACAAATTTTAAAAGGAAGAGATCCTAGAATAAAATCTCTAAGAATTTCATGGACTTCCCTACATCTTTCTTTTTTTTTTTTTTTTTAAAGATCATATATTTATACATACGAGAACAGGCCAGAGGTGTAGGGGGTGGTGCTGAAAGAGCAAGATCCAGGACTTTTTATTTTTAGAAAACTCATACAGCATCAGGTGTGTGGGAAAGAAGGACAAAGAGAAAAAGGAGGGGTGAAACTAGAAAATGTGCTATACTACCTACAGTTTCAAGGGTCGTGCATCTGCCTCCCAGGCACCTCTCATCTGCTTGAAGACCCGGTATTGTGATTAAAACCAGTCCTGAGACTTCAGCCACGGTTTCAATCTTATCAACAAGGGTGCCACAGATCAGCTTCTGGGGTCCTTTGTTATGCACATCAGTCAATGCCCGCCCTCCCCTCCCCCCCAATCCCCGGGCATTCCCAGTCAAATTCCAGGTCTTCCTGCTGCCCTGCACCTGGTTGCCTCACTTCAAATGGTATAGAATGATCATTAAAAGCCTGAAAAAGCCACCAGAGGGCTCCAGGACTCCTCCTTTACCTGTCTGCCTGGTTCCATAGGGAACCTGCTTCATACCTTGCTAAACACTACACCATGGATGGCTCTGTCCCACCAGAGTCACTAAATCTGTTACAGGTCAGGGAGAGGGTCACCCCAAAACTCTCAAACCTGCCCACTCTAAATCGGTTCTGCAGTATGCCTCACCAAGACAAAACATACTCCAGTGAAAAGGAACTTCATAAAACAATCAGTGTGCAATACAGAACAGGGGGAGAGTGGAGAAGAATATAGTTTCCAAATCAAGCACCCAAAGTTACCCAGCCCCTTGTGGGTAAATGCCCAGCCAAACAGGGTTGGCCCAAAGCAGGGCCTCTGAGGTCCGAAGGCCTGCCACAAGTCTATAGCACCACCTGGTGGGGACTGACAGGAAAGGAGCAGAAACAGACAAGTCTGGGAGGAAAAGAGCAAAACCAAAATCAAACTTCCCACAGGTCTCTCACCCAGATCTGTGTCACCCAGTCCACGACCAAAAGGCAAGCGCAGTTTTTTCATGTGTCTCTCAGCTCCATGTGCCTCCTCCATCCTGGCTCTCCATCCTGCTTCCTTCCTTCGACAGTCTCCTCTGCAGCTTCTTCTCTCCCTGCTCAGCTCCACCCTCCCTTGGGGGGGTGGGGCAGGGAACCTGGAACCTCCCCTTTTCCTGGCTGTTACAAGGTCATGCCTTTGCAGCATATATATAAATTGATAAAAGTGTTTTAAAATCTGGGATTCTTATAATCTACTATAATCTGGCATAATGTTGCTCAGTTCCTATTATTCTAAAATATATACGTGTCACAAAATTGAGCAAACATCCTTGTCTTGTACTTTATATGACAATTTTAGGTATGGTCATTTTCAAGATTTTGTTATTTCTAAAGGTTACTTGCTGTGCTTTGTCTTCAGAAAAATCAGAGAAAAGATACTGACAGTATAGATATGTGTAGGGTAGATGAAGATTGTTTAGGCTTTTGCACCATTGGCCTCATCTGCAGCCTTGAATGCAGGAGACACTTGGAAGCTTGGACGCAGGGTATGCATGACTGATGGCGGGCACCTGGAGCATGGTGTGGGCGTGCGTGAATGGGCACACCTGAGCTGAGAGACTTGAGTCTGAAAGGGTGGCAGAGAGGCAAGTGCGGGGCGGCAAAGGATCGAGCAGCAGAGCACAGTGGAGAGCTGTGGAGAGCGTCAGAGAAAGGCTGAGAGAGGAAATAGCATATGGGGATTCGCAGGGCAGGGTGACCCAAGTTGCTGTCACCCTGCTGGCTTGTTTCCCCTACCCTGTGGGGATGATGCCAAGCCCCCCAAGTTTCTCGCTCAAGGTGCCTGAACCTG